AGTGTTAACCCAAGACTCATCAACGATGTTGGAATAACTCCTTCCAAGCTCCCTCCCCATAGGCCCCTAGAAGGATTCATTTTCACTGCGGGGACCCTGGTGGGAGACAGCCATTCGAAGGTCTTGAAGCGTGCCAAAACACCACTCCCGGAACTTCAACGCCACGAATCAACTTGATTCTTGCGTCGTGACTAGAGGAGGAGGAGGAGGAGGAGGAGGAGGAGGAGGAGGAGGAGGAGGAGGAGGAGGAGGAGGAGGAGGAGGAGGAGGAGGCGGTGGAGGAGAAGGATACTGGTGTTCTGCACAGCCTTGAGGGCGGCTGCGCCCCGAACGAGATGTAAGGAATCTTGTCAACGGCCAGGAGGAGGAGGGAAGAGGAGGAGGAGGTGGGAAGAGGAGGAGGGAAGAGGAGGAGGTGCAGGAGGATGAGGACGCGGGGGAGGAGGAGGGGGATGGGGAGGAAGGAGGCGGATCTGCACTATCGTTCGCTTCCCAGGTGCGTGCACTCCTCCCCCTCTCCCTGGGGTCCCTGGGGGCGGGTCGCCGGGGGGGTGCGCCGCTGCCAAGCAGAGGCGGCGACAGCACGGCCGCTCTGCCTGATGTAGCCGAGAACTGCGCTTGTGGCCTCCAGGTGGTGCCGTCCCTCCAGGAGCTCTATAAGGCACCTCAGCTGCCTCGATACGCTCGTTTTGGAACGCAACACGTGCCGTGCTTGAAACGTCCGTGCCGATACGTTGCGTGTTGGCTCAGCGTATGGGGCCACGTGTTGGCGAACGTGTCGCGTCATATCCACGTTTTCAGTATACAGTCGGGCGTGCCCCTTCTACGGGAGGAAGCAACATTCACGAGCAGTTTAAACATCGTATGGGGACGATCCTCCGTGCTCTCTGGACTATTTGCGTGTATGGTTTGACTACTTGCTGCTTTTCCTCGAACGCCCCGCCCGATTGGGGGACGTGCCCAACCTGACGACTACGGGTGGAGCTCCCTCACAGTACACCCTAGGCGATGCTTAAGAAAACTTAAGCTTTCGGCCAGAGTCTCGATTATTCTTAATGTTTCAGTGTGAATCCTAAGATTTTGATAGAAACGTTGGGTTTTTATCCAAGTTCTGAGACTCTGAATTTCTTAACCCATGATTTCTTAAGCATTTCGCAGGGTGTACGCTACGTGTTGCGCGTAGCGCATCGGGGCAGCCCAGCGAGGCATCTCGGGGTGCCTCCTCGTTTCGCACCGGGTCGGCCGACCGAGAGCACCCCGCACCCGGACTCTTCCGGCGCCGTGACCGACGGGCCCTACTCAGGAGGGAAGGAAAGGAACACACAGACACAATTCATCGGCGATTCCCCAGAAAATATGGGAAACTATGGGAAGTGGGGGGGAAGACAAAAACCCAGAACATGTGGGAAAATGTGGGGTACGTTTTTATTTGGGTGTATTTATTTGTGTGTCCCAAGGCCCCTTCACCTACGGATGTCGGAGGTTCGGGGGGTGGACGAAAGTGGCCCCAACCGGGACATCGGTTTCGGTTTCGGTTCGTGCCGTGCGTGCGGGCGAAGCGAGGCTGCGCGGGTTCCTGCACTGGCAGAGGCCATCTACTGCCAAAAGGACCGCCCTCCCCCGTCGGGCGGCCGTGGCCCCTGGGTTGTCCCGATGGTTGTCCTGGCGGCTGTCCCGATGGTTGTCCCGATGGTTGTCCCGATGATTGTCCCAGCGATTGTCCCGATGGTTGTCCCGATGGTTGTCCCGATGATTGTCCCAGCGATTGTCCCGATGGTATCGAAAACCATCGTGTTACATCGATTCGCCCATGCCACCAGCATAATAACTAACAAACGGTGCCATCGTGCCATATATACATACATCTATAGTTACATATGTATATATACACATATGTACATATGTATACATGCACAGATTGGTCGACATATGTATATATATGCACATACATACATACATACATACATACATACATACATACATACATACATACATACATACACACATATATATATATATATATATATATATATATATATATATATATATGCGTATGTATAGACGCATAATATAGGTCGGTAGATAGACACACATACCGAGTTACACATACATACATATATATGTATATATACACATGCATATACTTATATATTTATATGGGAGGCCTGAGAAGATAACTCGACATACAGGTCGATTGATAGATGGGTAGATGTGCGAGACACTAGGACAGTTGAAGCAGCCACCAAAGAACCTAGAACCATCGCAAATCGACCGCCTGCCCCTCCCCCCCAGCCTCCTTATCACCCGTAGGGTGGCCCTACCGGTACTACTCCTCTAGCGTTGCCGCTGGCCTCTTGGGGAAGTTATGCGAGTCACTTCCCCCCTTGCTGGGGAAACCAACAGGTACAACACCGCTACTCCCCGGACCTCTCCTGGGACGCGTCCTGACCAGAATTCCGAGGCGAACCCAGCGGTGGCGACGAGGGCCCCTCCCAGGAGGCCCCCCCAAAGGGAAAACGATGGAAGGATAGCGGTATGGGTACCAACCCTTTCCTCCTCTGATCGCTCTCGTGCCCGCGGCGTTCGGAGATGCCGCCCCCCTCGGACCTCGAGCGACGCCCGCACGCGCACACTCGGCGGCGCGCCGCGGGTGGGGGGGGGACACGGCAGGGGGTGCGGGCGGCCTCTTCGGAGGGCGGCGGGGCTCCGGAGGAGGCTCGGGAGGCTCCCTGGCCATGGCAGCCTCTGGCGGGTGCCGTGCCTCACCAGAGCTCCAGCGGCCTGGGAGGGCGGGGCCCCTCCGCTCTGGGAGGTCGGTGCCTCGGCCCGCGCCGTGCATGCCGACGGCCCCAGGGTCAAGTCGGGCCTGTCCCTTCAGGGGGAATATTCAAAAATAGTAGAAAAATAGTCTGGGGACGATTTTTCGAGCATCTTTTGACGATTTTGTGTTTTTTTGGTGGGCAATTTTTTATTTTTCGTCCAAAATCCTCCTGTAGGAGGACAGGCCCGACTTAACCCCAGGGCCCGGCAAGGGCCCCTGGAGGCCGAGGATGGCCCAAGAACTCGCCGAGGGGGAAGCGGGTCCTGAGGGGAAGGGGTCCTGAGGCTTCTCGCCGCTGTCGGGCTCCCCGGGGCCCTCCACGGGCCCCGGGAGTGTCAGACAGCGACTCGGGGTGAAGACCTGGTCCTGGGGGAAGGTCCCGGGGTCCAGGACCCGCTTCTCAGGAGGGGAAAACACACACAGACACAATTAATCGTCGATCCCCAGGAAAATATGGACAAATATGGGAAGTGGGGGGGAAGACAAAGAACCAGAAGATGTGGGGAAATATGGGGAATCTGGTTATTTGTGTGTATTTATTTGTGTGTCCCAGGGCCCCTTCAGCTTCACCCATGCGAGAAGAATCCGCAGTGGTGTTGATTGTGTTAGTTCCACAGCGCGAGGAGGGTACACTGAGTTCCGGGCGTTGCATTTTTTCTCACCGGGTGCTTTCGCTTGGTTTCGGGCCATCACAACGCGATCCAGCTCGAAAAAACGAAGCAGAAAGACAAGGTCTAGCGCCCTGGTCGTGATTTTCAGCAGTGGTGCCATTTTCTCGCAGCGTCGGATCTCAGGGTATGGGTTCTCCCCCTTTCCAACCCTGCTCTGGGCCTCCCAGATGGGGTCAGAGCAGATGGGTTCGGAGGATCCCGCCGCATCGCAGATGCATCGGCGATGCGATTCGATGTGGAGCCAGACGTCGCTGATGCATCGCCGATGCATCGGCGGGTCATCGGCGATGCAGCGCCATGCACCGATTCCGTTTACGGTCGGACCGAGATATAAGATCGAGGCCGGTTCGGGGAGGGTATCCTAGTGCTCTTCGTGTTTGTTGGATGTTCTTGTGCATCCAGGGGGAGGGCACCCTCGAATGATTTTAGGGTTTGGGATGCTTTGGCCGGCTGAGGGTCTCAGGTTCTTGAAGGATGATCTTTTGGCTCAGGTCTGACTGTACTCGGACCCTATCTACAGTCGGACCGAGATATAAGATCGAGGTCGGCTCGGGGAGGGTACCCTAGTGTTCGTGGTGTTGGTTGAATGTTCTTGTGCATCCTGGGGAGGGTACCCTTGGATGTTCTGCAACGCCAGGATCTTAGGGTCTACTCGGATTCCATACTTACTCTTTAGGAGGCCGCTCGCCGTGGTGGTCGTCGTCGTCGTCGTCGTCGTCGTGGTCGTCGTCGTGGTCGTGGTCGTGGTGGTGGTGGTCGTCGTCGTCGTCGTCGTCATCGTCGTCGTCGTCGTCATCGTCGTCGTCGTCGTCGTCGTCGTCGTCGTCGTCGTCGACCGCAACCCAACCCCTGCGGAGGCGGCCAGGGAGGCGCTCGCGTCCGCAGGCCACGAGCACGCGCTGCGCGGGGCCATGGCGCTCGCCGAGCACCGGGCCGACGCCGCCGCCGCCGCCGGGCCCGGCGCCCTGCCGGCGGGCCCTGGCCCCGCCGCCGCGGCCGCCGCGGCGCTCGAGGCCGACGGCGCCGAGAGTGCCGCCGCGGCCCCCGCGGCCGGGGGCGCCGCGGCCGAGGGCGCCGAGAGTGACGCCGCGGCCCCCGCGGCCGAGGGCGCTCGGCCGGCGGCCCCCGCGGCGCCGGAGGAGCCTTAGAGGCGCCGGCGGGCGCCCGGAGGCCGGAGGGGCCGAGGGCGCGGAGGTGGCCTCCGTGGCGCGCGGGCCCGCCCGTTCGGCGGCCCCGCTCGCGCTCGCGGGGCGTGCTCGCGCTCCGGAAGGGCGGCTGTGCGGGTCCCGCGGGCCAGAGCACTCTTCCGCCTCCTCGTGTCTGGCATCCCCTTGCGAGAATGGGCGTGACAGGGGGGGGGGGGAGCCACGTCACGATTCGAGCCGGCGCCGTCTGGGAGTGATGAGGAATGGCGAGTTCCCCCGGTGCCGGCGCGAATCGTGACGTGACCAGGGGAGGGGTAGGGGGGGCCACAGCCAGTCACGGGCGTGATCACAGATAGAAAAATCGGGCTCCTGTTCGTTCTCTTCCTCCTCGGCATCCTTGCCTGCCTAGCTTGGTCGTCGGCTCTCTTGTGGGTGCCCCGTTGCACCGCGCTGCTTGGCCAGCCGGACCTACCAGCCGTCGCCGGGGTTCTCGGCATTATTCCCTGCCTCTGCTTCCCCTTGACCATCGCTAGATACCCGTCGCCGTTCCGGAGAAAGAGCCGCTGGCCGTTGCATGAGCGGGGTAACGCAATCCTTCAGTGCATGTGTTGTGCGCTGCTGGTCCATCAGCACTCCGATTCCTCACTGGTCCCTCAAAGTCGCTGTGGCATGAGAACGTAGTGACTGACAATATGATTTTGCGTTGATGGGCACGACAACAGAACGCCTCGTCGCCGCTTCGTAGGCGGTTCTCCGAAGTAGCAGACAAACCTTGGTCATATTCCTGTGAATGTATTCGTGTAAATTTCAATCGATGGCGTTAAGGCAGTCAAGGATGGCTTTGCACCGACACTCAGAAGTATATCTGGTTCGTTCTCACATTGGGTCCGAGACAGGCATGGTACGAATTGTCAGGCTACAGCTTCAACCTTCCAGTGTAGACGGTCTTGAGGAAGAATTCGTCGGTGGCATAATTGTCAACGCATTGCGATTTGAACATACGTTGGTTGTGTCTGCGTCATTTTTCGAACAACCAAGACCCAAACTTTCTGTATTGCCCCGACCAGGCTCACGATGATCTGGGCTACAAGGTCGACAGAGGTATTAGCCTGGTTGCAGCCCACTCGTTTTTTTTGCATGTGGAAGGCATCATTACCATCGTGTTGAACACGTGCAACCCTAAGTACACTTTTCTGTCTGACTTCGCGCAGGCGTAGAACATATTCTAGGTCACTGTGTCGACGTGGACGTGTAATGGAGGCTGGGTGTGTGAAAGCCCTTTTGAGGCCGACACCACTGGGGAATCTTAAGTTCGTGTTTCACGTCCTGCGAGACGCGCGTCGAAGCTGTGAGCGAGTGCTGTCTCCTGAGTGCGCGCAGGGACGAATCTGACGCCTGCTGCTGCTGCTTCCGCCATTGTCGAGGTGCACGGCGAGGGCGTCCCGACAGTTTGTTCATGGTGTCTTGGCGGTATCCCGATAGTTGGTTGACAGTGTCCTGATGATGTGTCCACGGTCTCCAAGCGGTGTCCCGACGCTTTTTCGATGGTGTCCGGATGACTTGAGGATGGTGTCCCGACTGTTCAGTGGTGCCCCAGTAGGTGTTCGGATGTCTTGATGATGGTGTTAGAATGGTGGTCCGAAGAAATGTTGAGGTTGACCCCACCGTGTCCCGATGATTTGGTGACACGACGGTTTGTCGATTATGTCCCAATGGTGTCCTCATGTTTTGCTGATGGCGTCCGGATAGCCTCCCAATGGTTTGTGATCGGTATCCCGACTATGTTATGGTGGTGATTCGACGGTGTTCCGATGGTTTGATGATTGTGTCCAGTTTGTTTCTTGATGGGGTCCCGATTGTTCGTTGATGGTTCGTTGACGGTGCCCCGATCGTGTCTCGATCGCGTTCTGATAGCATCCCGACTATTTCGACGATCGTGTCCATTGATGTGTTGATGGTTGCCCAGTTGTGTTCCAATGCTATATCGACGGTGTCCCGGTTGGATCCCGAAGATGTCCTCACTGTTTTGTTGATGGCATCCCGATGATTCGTTGATAAGTGCCCCAGTGCTACTCCAAAAGCTCCCGGGCATCTTCATGATTTCAAGGGGGATATTTCCGACGGATAGCTCACGGTGCCCCGATGGTGCCTCAACATAATGATGGTAGTATTGCAGTGCAGTGATTCGTTGGTGGTGTCCCGATGGTGTCCCGATGCATTCTGCATGACCCATTCCAGAGTTTGTACCATCATGTGTTTCCAATGGCTTGTTGATGATATGCCAATTCTTTGATGATGGTGTCTCGATTGTGTGATGGTGATGTCGAGATGATTTTGCACGTGTGGTTTGTTGGTTTGTTGATGGTCTCCCGATTGTTCGTTGATGGTGCGTCAGTGGTGTCCCGATAGTGTCCGGATGGTTTGTTGATGGTGTGTTGGTGATGCCCCGAGAAGGGGGGGGTCTCGAATAAGGGGAGGTTCTAGAGAGGGGGCAGGCCTACATTTTGTTTTGCTGGGTGGTTCCATGTTGTGTGTATGTGTGTGTGTGTGTCCAGTTGATTTCGTTACGGCTTCGCTCCTACACGGGGTGGTTCATGTATCGTAAGCGGGAGCCAGCCTTTGTACCACACGAACCGTCGATTGCATCACATCGGTGCAGCGGAGGAAGAAATCGCCGATGCGCTGTCTCCTGGGCTGCAGACTAGACTTTACCACGCCGCTTCACAAGGAAGCTAGCTCGGGGTAGACGCATCTCGTTACCATGCGCCAGTCGCGTCGGAGGAAAATTGTGTGCGTAAATTTCTGTCGTCACGTGAGCGTGGAAGCCGTTCTCTCTGACCTAGCGATGCCGAGTACGGCGACGCAGTGCGAATTAGGACGTGAAGCACATGAATCGTGCGCGAGATTCTTCGCACTCGTGGCCTCCGTGCGAGCCGCATTCCGGTTGCCAATTGTTCGCATATTTGAGAAACAGGGTGTGACGGCAATTTGTGCCGTCACCCTACCAAAAGTAGTGTTTTGTGATTCAGTTCTTGCGCGACGTGCGTGCAATTCGCGCGCATCGTGAGGTCTTCTAATGTTCACTTCATTCCTCCTGCTTCGAAGAACCGCTGGGTCAATTAGTCAATGTGCCTTTCGCTTAGTTTTCGCTGTTTCGATTTTTCGTTTGGGGCCTCTGTCGTCCCATGAACTGCCCCGTTACATTGGGATCCCCCTTCGGACTAGCCTGTGATATGATATCGAAACCAGATATAGGCACAAAGCTGTTTCCGTCCACACAATAGCCTGGGCATTGAGCGTTCCCGTTGTCATCGGCGATTCGGGTATACTGGCAGTAGCGTTGCGATTGGTACGCGCTGTGCAAGTTGCGTCTCTATAGAGAGTACAAGAAAGGCTTGCAAGGTCGTGGGTTCTGATTGCAAGGACCTTTGGGCAGTCACAGAGCGTGCCTCAGATTTGCACGTCTTGCTAGGTAGCCGTAGCCCCGCCCGCAAAGCAGTTGCCGACCCACGTGCATGCAAACCATATTGGTTCGCCACGGCCGTGCAAGCTTCCAGAGACACGATAAACATCAGATCGGAGACTGTGCATTCCGACTGCATTCTCAGGTGCGCCCCGTCGTTGCTGCGAAAGGTTCCCTCGGTGGGGTGCACATGGCGTGTCATCTGACCTCCTCGGATCCACCCTGGTGGCCAGTAGCTCCCTCGTCCTCCTGAAAGGGTTTGCGCCTACCGTGCAGCTGCCTCACAATGTCAGTGATGATGATAATGATGGTGGTGATGATGATGATGATGATGATGATGATGATGATGATGATGATGGTTATGATGGTGGTGGTGATGACGACGACGACGATCATGACTTGTGAGCGAGAAACATATCCGTATCCGCGGCCTCGCCGCGGGCTGGGCCCCTGAGCCGCGACCGCGCGGACACGGGGCGTTTTTCACGGAGTGTTCGCGCGGAGCGTACCCGTTCGACCTCGTATCCGCGGGGTCGCGCCCCGGCATCCAGACCGCGAGGGCGCGGATACAGACATGTTTGCCGCTTGCAAATAACCGTAGCACCCCGCAGATGCGGATAAGAGTGAAGGGGCGGTGGGGACGTCGGCAGTCTGGGAGACTCTGGAGACGCCCGCCGCAGGCGCCAAAGTTCCACAAAATATACCGCGAGCCCGCCGCAGCCGCCGAGTTTTTCTTCAAACCAATGTGGATCGGTCGCGGGTGGGTCGCGGGGTGGGTCGCGGGTAGGTCAGGGGGTGGGTCGCGGGTGGATCGCAAGTGGGTCGCAAGTGGGTCGCGGGTGGGTTGCGGATGGGTCGCGGGGTGGGTCGCGGGTGGGTCGCGGGTAGGTCGCGGGTGGGTCGCGGTTGGGTCGCGGGTTGGGTCGCGGGTGGGTCGCGGGGTGGGTCGTGGGGTGGGTCGTGGGATGGGTCGCAGGGTGGGTCGCGGGGTGGGTCGCGGGGTGGGTCGCGGGTGGGTCGTGGGGGGGGCGACGACAACAATCAACAACAGCAACAACAACCAACAACAACATGAACAACGCAACGAGCCGAATCCTCACCACGGATTCTCACTTCAGCCACGTACCTAGGGACACTGAATGACCGTTTGGCCCCTTCACTCTGATGATGTTGATGACGATGCCGATGATGACAGAGCCGCCAACGACGATGATGGTAGTGATGACGATGATGATGATGATGATGATGATGATGATGATGATGATGATGATGATGATGATGATGATGATGATAATGATGATGATGTTGAAGGTGATGATGATGATGATGGTGACCATGATGTCCGTGTTGCTCATGATGATGATGGTGGTTATGATGATGCTGAGTATGATGACGATGGTGATTTTTTATGACAACCATGATGGCGACGAAACTGATGACGCCAGGAATGATGATAATGGTGGTGGTGGTTATCATCAAGATGTTGACGCTGGCGACGACGATGACGAGAATGATGCTGACGATGGTGCTGATGATGATGGCGACGGCGGTGGTGAAGATGATGATGATGATGATGATGATGATGATGAGACGACAGGCGGTGATGATCATGATGGTGATGACCACGATGATGCTGATGATGTTGCTGATGATTCTGATGATGGTGACGACGACGACCACGAGGATGATGAGGATGAAACTGCTGACGACGACTGCGATGCGACGCCGATGCAGCTGACGACGGTGACGGCGATGATGATGCTAAATCTGATGATGGTGATGATGTTGATGAGGATGACGATACTGATGATGTTGATGATGATGATGATGAGGCTGATGTTGATGATGATGATGATGGTGGTGGTGGTGATGATGATGATGATGATGATGATGATGATGA